ACAATGGTCACTTAGTTCATTTTAGTTCAGAATCTCTTAACAGCATTTGCACTTAATCAACCATCCAAATACATTTGATTGTGCTTATTTTTCACATGTATTTTAATGAATTATATCATTCAAGCCCAACACTGAAACACATTATGTAAAGACTTCAAAATTATTCACATCATTCAGTTCTGTCTATTTTATGTAGGGGCTCAATAAAGATCAAACAATAATGCCATCCCCATGTGTATTAGCAAATAATCCTCCTGATTTTGGTGGAATGAGCAAATCTATTCATTGTTTACCTCTTTGAAAAAGAATTGAAAATTGCCAAATGCACATTTCCCTCAGTTCCAAGTCTATGTCCAACCACACCCTGTCTGGACATAAAAATGCAGCCTCATACTCAAGTTTGTTATTGTTAAGTGCTTCCAGACACTGGTAAGCAACTTCTTCCTGTCCCCTGATCCCTATCCTAAAAACAGAGAAGAAATTTAGGCAGAAAGCTCAAGTATTTTAAATCAATAATTGGGACAATAAAGCAGATGTGCCTGAAGTAATACCCTTGATCGATACTCTAATCCCTTTGCAACAAAGGGAAAAGGAAAATTTCTCTTAAAATACCTCCATGGAAGGGCCTTGGTTACTTTACAATCTTTTTCAAAGGAGTGCTAGACACAGCCTGCATTCTTGTAATAAATATTGCTTGAAATATTTAGATTTCTCTCTGGGCCATGGGATTTTGTGTTAAAATAGTTGTTCTTGTTACAGTTGTAGCCATACCTTTAACAGACCGGTACACTTGCTATAAGTGCATGTTGTTGCACACCCAGGCTGTGCAAGTCCAGGGTCCTAAAGCAGTAAAGCACAGTCTCCATTAGCCAGCTACAAACTGGAAAGAATACTGGAAGGTCAATGCGCCAAAGAGAATAAGATAGGTCACCTCTCCTTTCTAACTAAGGACAGACAAATCTGGGGCTTTTGGTTAAGNAAGAGAATAAGATAGGTCACCTCTCCTTTCTAACTAAGGACAGACAAATCTGGGGCTTTTGATTAAGGCAAAAGGGAATTTTCAATGGCATTAAAATAACTGTTTGTTTGTATTTGCCATGCAGCATGGCTTGTGGGATTTTACTTCTAAGAATGCTTTGCTTCAGTCGTGTCTGACTCTGTGTGACCCCAAGGGTTATAGCCCACCGGGCTCCTCTGTCCTTGGAATTCTCCAGGCAAGAATACTGGAGTGAGCTGCCATTTCCTACACCAGGGGATCTTCCCCTGCACCAGGGATCCAACCCATGTCTCCTGGGTCTCCTGAATTGGCAGGCAGGTTCTTTACCACTAGCGCCACCTTACTTCTCAGACTGGGGATCAAACCCGCAGCCCTGCAGTGGAAGCATGCGTCCTAACCACTGTATCTCCCTAAAACAACTTTTTAAAGTTTACATAATCCATAGGTACAGGTAGCATTAAGCAATGGGAAAGCACAGTAAGGCATCAGAATAAACGCAGCAAAGATTTTCTGCCTACTTTGACTATTATCAACCACAATAGGGATTTTCAATGATTTTTCTCTTTTAGCCAATGACACTCATTCTTATCTATTATATCAGGAATATCACTTAACATACTCTTATGGAGCTAAGGTAGCACATTAAGCATAGTGAAAAATTATGCTGGTATGTGCTGAGGATCTGATTTCCCAGTGTTCATTACCAAAGTCCCAATTCCCAACCGCTTCCTCCTCCCACCAGGCATCCTGAATAAACACTGTAAACAGAGCATTTACTATCCTGTTACCATGCAGTTTATGCATATGTCCTCTAGGTGTCTTCAGTGACCAGCTTTCGAGGAGATTTTCATGCAGTGGGCCAGCTGGCGTAGCAAGAACTCAGCTTACTAGAATACGTTCTCATGGTTTATTTAGAACATTTTGATTATCTAGAATAAAATACTGTATTTTGGATTCCACATCTGTCTTTTGTGCAATAAATACTTCCAGACATTTAAAATTTTTTCAAGTTCATCTTTACTAGCTATTAAAAAACATTTTTGCTTTCATCTTAGGTAAATACTGACCTTGCATTTCTATAATGTGACTACTCAGGAAATACTCTTCTGATGTAAGTGGTTTAAATTAAGTTGAAGCACATTTCCTGGGAAGGGGAGGTGAGGAGATAAAATGTGTAATTATTTTCTGTTTTCCTTTGTTATTACAGGTTTGTACTTAGGGAAAATTCTAAAAATATATTGAGGGGGAAGATGGTGTTGTTCTTGAAACCTAAGAAAAGAGTTGGAAGAGGGGGGCTGAGATCTGGGATCTGACACTGATAAACGTGGGTGGGGTCAACGTTCCTTGGGCTGAGGAGTTTTTGTTGCAAGCCAGACGATCTAGTGACTGTTTCCAAGACTCTATGCCACTTAGTATAAGACACTGAGGGCCCAGCAGAGGTTTGCAACATCTAAAAATGTCACTTCCAAGTAAGGGTTCTTCAAATATTTTTCAAAAAATTTTTACGTTCAAATATGTAAGTAGGAAAATTAATTTGCAATGAAAATTAGAAGACAACAATACTGTATCCCATGGAATCATTTCCTCTTAGTCCTTTGTTTTTAGAGCTACAATTACAATTTTTCTCTTTTTAAGCTTTTTATTTGGAAACAGTTTCAAACTTACGAAAAGTTGAAAAAGTTAAGAGCATTATAAGGAACACTCCTAGACCTTTCATTTATATAACATTATGTTATTTGCTTTGTCATCTCTGCTCCTTAATATCTATCTCAGTCACTGTTTCTGTTTTCTGTCTCTCTTGTGTTCTTGAACTGTTTAAAGGCATCCTGCAAATATTATGGCCTTTTACACCTAAATTCTTCAGTGTGTATTTCATAAAAATGACTGAAAGATGGTCATTTATGTCTTAAATCCACACATCCATATTCAAATTTTATCTGTAAACTAGTAATGTCATTTTGTAGTATTTTTTCCTTTCCTGTGGATCTATACTAGGGTTATGTATTATATTTAGTTGTCTAGTCTGTCTAACTTCCATTAATCTGGAGCAAATCACACAATTATTCTTTGTCTCTTATGATACCATATTTTTTTTTTTTTGCTGCACTATGTGCAGCATGTGAGATCTCAGTCCCTGACCAAGGCTTGAGTCCAAGCCGCCTGCAATGGAAGCTCAGAGTCCTAAGCACTGGACTTCCAGGGAATTCACAAGACTGATATTTTTTAAAGAATGTATTTACTTCCCCCGCTTAAAACTCATGATATAATTACTTTTTTCTCTCTCTTGCAACTAACAGGACTATGTATATGTCCTAATGTCATCAAAATTTTCTCCCAAAACTTAACATTCAATGACAATTCCTTCTTGGTTTGATTTTAACCATGACAGCTGCAAAATGATAATTGTCAAACTCGAGCACCACATTCATGTCTACTATTTGGTCTTCTGCATTCTACTGTAAGCAGAAGACTTCACTTTTCATATCCACCTATCTATCGATCTATCTAGCGATATAAATCACCACTATTATCTGTCTATGTGTTTTGGGAATGGATATATTAATTCTTATTTATTCACTGGCTTAAAATTCATGATTGATGCTGGGACACCAATGCTCAGACTGTCCCAGATTTGCTCAGGAGGAGCCCATTCAAATTGGTTCTTGTGCTTTTGTAACATGTCCTCATCATTGGTTTGAGCATCTTCTTACTTTTTGGCACAGCAAAACATCCCAGGCTCTTTTGCACCTATCCTATTCTGCCCTTGAAATCAGACATTTCTCTGAGAATCCCTGATTCCTCTTAGTGAGGAATGGCATTAGAGACCAAGATCTAGGTATGCTTATTGCTACTGGGGGCAGGGGCGAAATCTTTGCCTCTTGGCCCTTTAATGTATAACACTAACAAATAGACTTCATGCTCACAAGCCAGGGAGACTGGGTTTGATCCCTGGTCAGGGAACTAGATCCCACAACTAAGAGTTTGAAAGTCTCAACTAAAAGAACTTGCATACCACAACTAAGACTTGGATCAGCCAAATAAATAAATATTAAAAAAAGAAGAAAAACAAACATGTACATATGCATATACACACAGTTCTATGTATATATTTATAATACACATATGCACACAGATATGCATATATACATACATATTTTAGAATATTTTAGAAATCATAGCTCATACCAATACCTCCAATTATAGTTCCAAAGGATTATTTCTGTCCTTCTCTCATTTTATATTTGTAAGTTCCTTCTTCCACAATAAGAACCATGACTTTCAACAATATCAACCCATTTACTCATTCTCAAAGCACTTCTTTTTTCAATCTTTCATATATGGCTCCAAATACAGAAAAGAGTTTGAATAAAATTGTAAAAAAAAAAAAATTGGAAAACTCTAAATTTTTCTTTCAACATCAAGGATTTTGTAAATCTGTAGCACTAGTTCTTAAGTGATCTCATAAAAACTGGAAACGGGTTGAGTGGGACCAGCACTTTGAGTTATATATAAAGAAAGACAAGTAGCCAGCTGCCTTGCACTGAAGACAGCGGAAACGGAAACAAGAAGGAAGCCAGGAGCCTGTGGTGAGAGAACTGGTACTTGAAGGTGGTTCCAAGAATGAACACACCTGGGTGGAATCCCTGCAAGTCAGCTGTAGAACTATTCCTAGATAAGCATGCAGCTCAGTCTAAGTTGGATTTTTTAGTATTGGGTCCTAGAAGATTTCTATAATTCACCTTCATTACTGAAGGTGAATTATAGTAGTTTTACCTTTCTAAACTTTTAAAATGAAAATAGATTGGCCTTAGTTTAGAATAGTTTGGGGAAAACCTCTCTGAGGGTTAATAGTTGACAAATGTACCCCCATGTCCTTCCTGTCAGTCCAGTGGCTAAGACTCTATGCTCCCAATACAGGGGGCCTGGCATTCAATCCCTCGTCAGGGAACTAGATTCCATGTACCGCAACTATGAGTTTGAATGCCGCAACTAAAGAACTCACATGCCATGTGGAGATTGAAGATCCCGTGCACAGCAACCAGCATAGCCAAACAAATATTTAAAAAAAGATTCTGTCATCCTATGAATGAAGAGACAATGATATAAATTACAAAGTTTTGCAAAAGTGCAGACATTTCCTTTACAGAGAATTCTTGCCAGACTTTCATCTATAACTACTGAAGTCCTCTGATGTTTCTGTTCTTATATATCTTTTGATTCCCTAGCTACTTCCTGTGTTGCAGGCAAACACCAGGGAGGGGTCACTGAAATTCTGACAGTTCTAAACTGGGTACCAGGTAGGTCCTAGAAATGTCTTCTTTTGATGCTCACTCCCTTTCTATGTACCCACCTCTTTTTCTCTTCTGAAGTCTTTCCTATTTTTCTAATGCCTTTTCTTCCACTCACTCCCCAGGTACCAACTTGCTTCTACCAAGACTGACAGAGTTCCCCAGCGTGCACATTACTAAAAAGAAAAAAGAAAAAAAGGTTCCCCAGCGTGGAACTCATTGATTCTTAAATTTTACAGGACTTACCTTGATACTGAAGATCCACATCCCAGACTCCTCAGAAAGATACTGCCTTTTGGATTCTTGAGGACTGGGCTCCTTTTGCTTCAAGAGGAACATAAAATAGTTGGTGAATTTGAGACAATGAATGAGAACTAAAGACCACCCCACCAAGGTCCACCAAGTGTCTTATAGAGTTTTCATTCATCCATCCATCCATCCATCCATCCATCCTTTATTGAGCACACAGTATGTGCAAAGCAGATTTGGACAATAACCAGTAAATAAGTAAGTACACAAGTAAATGAATTAAAAAGAAGATAATGGAATTCTGTGATAAATCTTTTGAAGGAAATAAATAGGGTGATAAGTATAACTGGGGTAAAGATTTCATTTCTTAGTCTTTACAGAAGGAATAAAAAAGGTAAAGGTGGGGATTATAGACTGGAAAGGAGGCCTCCATCATCTGACCCTGCTCTAATGTTATTCCTACCCTGTTTCAGCGTCTTCTTCTGATCAGACATGTCTCATTGTTCTAAGAAAGCCCCCTTTACCCTATCTCTGTGCTACAACACTTCTTGATCTCCTGTCCTTACTTCTTACCCCGGCTGTCATTCTAGATTCCATTCCTCCATCTGTATGCTTATTCACTGTCAAAGTTCTCCATGACTGCTCCAGTTCTTTCTCCTTTCTTTTAATTCTATAGCCCTTGAAACTTCATCACGTGATTTAAATTCTATATTATCTTTATGTATTTAACATTATCTCAACTACTCTATGTTTGTTCCTCTGACCTATTGTTAGGTCTTAAAGTCAGGGACAATATTTCATATTTGCTTTTGTGCTCAACAAAAGTTGGGCAGGGAATGAGTGTTCAGACTTAGATGAAAGTTTTATGCATATTGGCTAATACGGATTGGTTGAGGAGCCTATTGGGCTGTTCCGGATCTGTAGAAGAGCTATTTTATGGCCAGCAGGGCCTTGTTGTACATTTCAAATTACGCGATATAGGTGGCTGCCCTTCTTCCTACACATAAGGCTGGCAAGAGGCTGGCTTACCCAGCCTGGGGAAAAAAACTTCTTCTAAAATGCAGCACTTCTAAAATGCAGCCAATGACTTCTTCACTCACTTCCTGGCAGGTTGTAGACCAAAACTCCAGACAAACCACAATTTTTAAAATTTAACTGTATCACTAGTCCTCACTATTCTGCCTTTCCCCCTCTCTCTATGAGATAATTCAGATCTCTACAGCACAGATGGCTTATACAAAAATGCAGTTATTCTGAGAAGTTGAGAGAGAAGGAGAAAATTGCTTACTACTTTTACTGTGAGAAGTAACATTATCTGAAATAGGAGCCTATACAAGCAAAGCAATACATTTGCATAGATCATAACATTTGGCTAACATAGATATATTTTTTAAATTAATTTTTTTATTGAAGTATGGTTGATTTAAAATGTTGTGCTAGTTTCCTCTGTACAGCAAAGTGACTAAGTTGTACATACACATACCTTCACTCTTTATTAGATTCTATTTCCATATAGGTCATTACAGAGTACTGGGTTAGATACTGTTGACTAAAGCAGACATCAACTATTTGAAAGACAGCATTTTAAGTGTCATGGACTGATTGCCATCTGTCAAACCTGAGTACATTCTTTACTGAGTAGAAGCATTATTTGCATTATATCTTAAGGATATGTTAGAAAGGAATACCTATATAAAAACTGCATTGTATCAAGTTTTCCTAATTGTTCACTCATTCACTGACAAAGCCTTCCGTGATGGCTCCAGTTCCTTATTCTTCCCCTTAATTCTCTAGCACTTGAAATTTGTCACTGTTTTAATTATATATACTGTCATATTTTGTTTGATATAAATTATCTTAAATTTGATATAGATAGTCTTTATGTATTCCATATTGCCTCAAAGAATCTGGGTGGCTCAGACACTAAAGAATCTGCCCATGGTGTGGGAGACCTGGGTTCAATCCCTGGGTCAAAATATCCCCTTGGAGAAGGGAATGGCTATCCAATCCAGTATTCTGGACTGAGAAATCCCATGGAAAGAGGAACCAGGTGGGCTACAGTCCATGGGGTCACAAAGAGTCACACACGACTGAGCGACTAACACTTTCACTTCAGTTTCATAGAATCCGTTTATTTCTGGGGTTTTATATAGTTTCATTCCTTGTCCAAATGAGAGTATTTTGGTTCTGTGTTTCTGAACATAGTTGTGATAGGTAACAATACAGAATTAGGCGAACACATGTCCTGCTCAAGTGAGATCCTGCTCAGTTAAGTTTCCTTACAGTAAATATTAAGGCACTGCATATTGACTCTGTACTTACTTTCAGATAACTGGTGTTTCATCTTACTCTACAGAAAACAAAACAAAACAAAAAAACAAGGCAAGGATAAGTGATTAAATGCCAGGGCGATAAGAGTGAAACATTACAGATTTTCTGGGGTTACAATTGAAAGCATTCTGAGACAGTGCCTGATGTATTACAGGCTTGTTTGCTTCCTTCTTAAAAAAGAGCTTGGGTATGAATGGATCCAATAGTGGAAGAGGCTCCTGCAAAACCAGTGTCTCCAGCATGGAATTTGTGAGTGGGCGGGAAATGCTTAATTGCTATTTACCTGCCGAATGCTGCCTTTGACACACATGATGAGCCAGCGTGGTTTGACTGTCACCTCCTTAGGAGGCAGGATTCTTCAACCCACACTCTGCTCAGCACTGACTTCTTCTCTGTGCATGCTTTGTGTCTGCGTTTTTTGCTCAGACTGTGCATTTTGAGGAAAGCACCAACCCAAGACAGGCTCCTCGGTTTTGTCATTGTAGGGAGACCAGCAGAGCCTCCCACACAGCAATGTGCTCAAAGGGAGGCAGGGATGCCGAATCCTTTGAAGAAGCATTTCTTAAACAAAAGGGATTCCCCTATGTGCTGGTGTGCCTGGAAAGTCTTTCTTTCCCACCATATCAGGCAGAACTCACAGATGGAAGGCTGTCTATTTGTACTTATTAGGCCGTAAGTTGCCAAATAAATAAGTAAGTAAGTAGGTCTTGGATATTTGGGGTCTGGCTTCAATTCATTTAAAAGTTCAAGTTGCAAAGATGCCAACTGCAGATTTATCAACAGACTAAATGTGTTCTCTAAATAAAACAGACCAGCACCCAATATAATAGCCCTGGCTAGTGCATGGATTATGTCTGCACTTAGTTCTCAGTCATGCATGACTCTTTGTGACCCTTTGGGTTACAGCCTGCCAGTCTCCTCTGTCCATGGGATTTTTCAGGCAAGAATACTGGAGAGGGTTGCCATTTCCTCCTCCAGGGGATCTTCCCGACCCAGGGATTGAACCCATGTCTCCTGAGCCTCCTGTAATGCAGGCAGATTCTTTACCAGTTGAGCTGTCAGGAAAGCCTCACCAGTATATGGATTATTATTATTAATAGTTAATTCAGATATCCCACAGGTCAAATTTTATTCTCTGAAATGTGACAGAATGGCATAGTCAAAGCAAGAAATTACATGTAGGATGCTTTCTACCTACTAGGTATCTTCCATAACGCTCAGCAGAACCCCACCTCTGAAGAACCACACTGCTGATGTCTTCCTGCTAGGGATGGACCTGAGCCACTAGATCATACCAAAATAAACTCACTCTTAGTGCAGCTTCCTGGGAAGGGGATAGCCCCTGGCCGGACCAGACCTCTGGGCCCACAACAATCCTACAATCCATGAAGTCCACTAAATCAACTCCATGGTGGGGTGCGATGCTAGGGAAAAGTTGTGTTTCGTGTGGCATTGCTTGGCGTGCTTGCCCATGTTCTCTTGGCTCCCCTCTCCCGACAGAGACTCCGCTGCGCAGACTGAAACAATAAGAGGCCCAACCCTGGGCCCACAGCAACTCCCACCCACCGAGCAAGGTGCTGGGTGAGAGTCCCCAGGGCCTGGGCGGAAGTTCTGACTGCCCCGGCAGGCCCAAACACGAGCTCGGGAGAAGGTACACGTCCCAGGGGCTTTCCGCCAGTTGTCTAAACTGGTTCAGTTATCCAGCTCTTTATCTTCTCTATTTGTTTTTCTTTCCCCACTTTGGGCCACATATTCTTCACCTTGACATCCAACTCACCTGCAAATTCAAAATTTCCTTGCTTACGTAGCCCCCGTCACAATAGCTTTAGGCTCCCACACAGTTTAACAAATTAGTGATGTGCTTTTTTCCATTCTAAGAAAATTCTCTATTTCCTACTGTGTCCCTTGCTTCTTTTATTCCCCACTATGAACTCTTTTGATCCACAGACTTTTTTTTTTTTTTACAATTGATGGTAGATACCCAATGGGGCAGTGCACTGGCTGCCCTGTTGTTCACTCATTAGTTTTAAAAAATACCTATGTACTGGGATTTCCCTGGTGTCCCAGTGGCTAGCACTCTGTGTGTGCCCAATGCAGGGGCCTGAGTCTGATTCTTGGTCAGGGATCTAGGTCCTACATGCTGCAACAAAGATTGAAGATACTGTGTGCCACGACTAAGACCTGGTGTGGCCAATAAATAAAATAATTTTTAAAAAGTCAGTGCTAAAAAAGATCTACCTACTTTTGAAACATAAAGATCTCCTTTAGCCTAATCCTAAGCCATACTATCCATGAAATCACAGGTTTTATGTTTTCTAACATAATTCTTTTTTGGGGGGGTCTAATATAATTTCTAATAAGTAACTGCCAAATTAAAACAATAAATAAAATTATAAAAATGAAATAAAAGGTGCTAATTCATGAAGGTTGCATGGGACACCTTCACTTCCCTTCCCATCTCCCACCCTGAGGGCCCAGGTAATTGGAGGTGTCTTCCAAACCCTAGGCCAGACTGGTATCAGATAAGAGGAAATCACTGTACAATTCTCACTATTCTGTTCCTCCTCCTCCTTTTTGGGCCCAATTGCTGAGTTAGGATCACAAGAACGATCGTTTGTGGGATTGCTATCGGCAGACCATAGGAAAGGAGACAGAGCCAAAACAGCCTGGTGTTACGTGACGATCCACCAGCTCAGGGAGGAGCTGACATGCCCAAGGGCGGTGAGGAAACCGCAACTCCTTCA